ATTTTATTATGAAATAAATGTTTATTAATTTATTATAAATATAACATATTGATATCTTTTATATATATCACTAAAATTTATATAATTATATACCTATCTAATTAGTAGTTATTTTTATTTACACTTAAATTATTCCATCAATGTATATTAGATTCATGTGTTAAAAAATATATTACAAATATACTTAGAACAATATTTATATGATAATATTATGAGTATATACCGATAAATGTATATATTTGTCCTTGTTGGAGAGAACATTATATAAATATATTATAGGAATTTTAATTATTTTGTGCTAGTTTGCATATAAATTTGTGTATAAAAGTCATGCTTGTATAGTACGTACTGTATTTTATTATAGATGATTTCTTTTGTACTAAAATATTGTAAAAATATATATATGATTTTAATTATTTTATACAATATTATATAATTGTGTACGTAAATAAACATGTTGTTCTTTTAGAATATATATATTTGAGTGTGTCTTAATTAGAACAAAACAAAACATAATTGTTTTAGCTAAAATTTTGCATATTTAAAGTAAGTTATTTTTTCTGAATATATTAACAAAATGCTTCAAAGTTTTCTATTAAGCTTGCTTTTTTATATATTAGTACATATGTATATACTCGAAAAGATAGTTATACATTCAATTGTGATTTACATATTATGGTTTGATTAATTATGGTTTTAAAGTATATTATTATAATAATTTTATATAGGCTTATATTAATGTACATGTAAATTATTATATCGTTATTTATTATTACTTATAGCAATTTAGTGAGTGTATTTTAAGAGTTAATATTTCATTATTATCTTTATATTTGAGTTATTATATTCAGTAATATTTTCAATAACTTTTATAAATTATGCCACTGTATAAAGACTGATATATATGAAAAATGTATTATATATAATATTTTAAATCTCCTTATGCACATTTACACTACTTAATTATATAAATCCTTTTTTCCTATATAATGTTTTTGATTTCATGTAACATTTATAACATAACATATTATATTTAATTACAGTTTTTTTTGTTTATATTTTTTGTGTGTATTAAGTAAAATTATGTTCTGCATCGTAAAGACTGTTCTTTTGTTATTTGTTTGATAAATCAGAATTAAAATGTATTAAATTATTTGAAATATATATTACATAATACACTTATTTCCTCTTTACTTTTCTGAAAATTATTCATTAAAGAACTCAAATTATATATATATTGAGTAAAAAAATCTGAAAAAAAAATAAAAAGACATAAATATGCAATAAAAGTAATCTGGGAAATCCTTACTATTAGTTTGTAGAATAATATTTCGAAGTACAAAATAAAAGAATATTTATCCTGCGCATAATAAAAAAGAAAGATTATAATAACTAATATGTAATAAAAAATGGAGGTACAATTGCAATTAAAATGTAATCTCATTAAATATATTACAAAATATTGTATACTTTATTTATATTTATTTAATAAAAAAATGTTCATACATCTTTTTTTGTATATTCTAGTTCAACAAATAAATTTATATTTCGTACTTTTATATGATATATTTTAATGATTCATATACATATATAATATTACAGAACCTTATTTATTATTTTTCTTTTGTTTATGAAAAATTTATTTCAAATACAAGGAATAATTATTAGCTTTTCTCATATATTTATTTATTCCTTGATATAAGAATATTGAATTAAGAGAACAAAATTTATATTTATGATTTAATTTTCGTATAATGTATATCATTACTTATAATAAAATATTATTTACTTATATTTGTGTTAATTATGCGTATTATTGTATAATGTAGCATATGTATGTAATAAAAAGTGTATATTAATTTATATATATTATTTTGGAGTTAAAATGTAATAATAATTAAATATATATATATTCATATTTATTTATATTGTTTTTTGTATTTATATGTATAAATATATATGCATTATGTCTATAATATTTTTGTAATAAATATATATAATTGAAGAATCTGGCCAAAGTGTGTTAATATATGTATAAAAATATTTTAGAATATATTATTTTAAAATTTATAATGTATCATAGTATTACTTTATTTCTATTATTTTATTATTGTTTATAATAATATAAGCATTAATCATAAGAAATGTTTATTCTATTTTTGATCAAGTTTAAATGTTTATGTATTATATATTTTTTTATTACATTTAAGTGTCTTTGTATAAACTGCATCTCATATATTTTGATATGCTAGTTTCACGAATACATTAATAAATACTATGTTGTTTGGGAGTTATTAAAAAAGCTATTTATAGTTAAATAAATTGATATATATAATGTTAAATCAAAGACCAATGAGTGAGTTATAATCATAAGAATATACATATTTCAATTTTTTTTCTTGTAATATGAATCTTATTTTTATAGACTTATATTCTTACGTTATAAAAAGTGTTCATTTTATTTATAATACCATAACATATATGAACTTAGAATAAAGGTATTATCAATTTTATCCAATCATAATTTATCGTATTATTTTTTTAAATATATTAATAATTATATTTTTAGAAGAAGAATTTTTTCAACTTAGCATATAATAAATAAGGTATATAACTTATTATATAGATTACAAAATGTAAATATGATATTAAATAAAATAATGCATCAATAGAATTTATTTGATATTATCATAAAAACATTATATTATAACATATATATTATCGCTTTGCTCAAAAAATATTCTGAGTACACTGTATTAAATATAGATAATAGTTTATATTATTATGAATTTATTTATATAACATTTATTTTTTTATCAAACTAACATCTCTATGAAATCGTAAGATATTATCCTATAGTCATTCATATTTTAAATTTAAATTGAAACATTAAATATTAAAGTAAATATTTATTTAAATATGCACACTATATATATTAACAACATTAAATATGTGCTAAGGTGTTTAATAATTGTAAGCATGATTAAGAAATCTACAAAGAAATTCTAAATATTTATAAATATATGCTGTATAATGTAAATATAGATAACGTTTTATTTTAATATAATATCATTTATTTATAAAATTTGGAAACTGTACTTGTAAGAAAATAAAATTATGATAAATATGTTATTATTATATATTTAATTAATTAAATACGACATGATTACATACTCTTACAAAATAGTACATTCGTATATTATCCTACTAATAATGCAAATATAGAACATACATGCTCTTATTAATTATATATAAAAAAACTACATAACATTATAATTTTCTTATCATATAAATTCTTATTTATTACAATGGGTTATACACACATGTGCTTCTTTATTCAACATCTTTAATTATATAAGTTATAAGGATATATTTTATAGAAATACTAAAATTATATATTTAAATATCATTCCACAAAAATATTTTAATAATTCATATCATATATTTTTATATATATCTATAAAATTATTAAAATTATTTTAATTATTATTGTCTATATTATAAAAAAATATAATACACGAAAAGTAATACACATATATTTTAATCATTTAATGATAAATATAAATATATATACTCTAAAAGGAATAAACTAATTTTTTTTAAACAAAAAATATATGATGCAAGGAATGAAAAATATGTACATCTTTATTTAATATACTATGAAAAATATTGTCAATTATTAAATTTTATATATATATTAGGCAAAAAAAAATAAAAAATAATATATATTTATTATACCATAAAATTATTACTTCATAATAGTTAAGATATTTTTTTTATATTTTTATTTAACATACTAATTTTAACAAAATCTAAAATTATGAAATATGCATACGCATAATATATATAATTGATAATTATATTTTTTACCTCACACATAATAATAATATTAATTCAATATTCTTTTAATATATACATAATATAATATATAAATTCAATATATTTATGTAAAGATCCAAAAATGTATATATTTAAATTGTTATACTAAATTGCATTGAAACATATACAAACATAATGCAGGATAATAAATCATTTATACATATTCATTATCTAATTTAAATAATATTGACATAAATAACAATAAATAATATCATAATGCGTATACCATTATTTATATAAATTTAAAATGTATATGTTAAAGCTCATATAATAAATTTGATACCAGAATAATAATTACATATCCTTGAACTAATACAGAAACACGAAAACCTATGAATATATATCATTTAACTGTATCCATTTATATCCATGTTTTAAATGAAATTAAAAGCAAAAATATAAATATATTACTATAAATCTATTAATTATGTGCCTATATATTTTGCATATGTCTTTATAGAATATAAATATTTTATTATAATCATATTATATATAGAATAATATTACAAAAGAAAATTTACTAATTGTCATTTTCTCATGATTATAATATTAAATTTATATTTTTTATAATATTAATATATATTAAATTACGTGCCTATTATCATAGGGTAGTAATGGTACAATAGATTTTCATATAAAGAATGCGAGGAAAAGATTTTGAAATTTTTGTAAAAATAACGAATTTTGATATTGTGTACAAGTATTATCAATATAATATATATTATAATAATTTTAAAATAAAAAAACGTATAATAATGAAAATAAATATACCTTGTTTATTAGTTAGCATATATAAAAATAATGTCTGTAGCTCCTGAAAGGGGTAAAGTGGTATATGTTTATTCTAAACTTTGTCTATAATTTAATTTGCGTATTATTAAAATATAGTCATTCAAGAATAACAAAAAAAAATACATTTTCTTAATAAAATCATTTAAAAACATTGCATGATCCATGGATTCTTATAATGGGCTAATTTTATGGGCATGCTTCCCAAATGTAGTTTTGTTTTTTATAATGTAAGAAATGAGAAGTTACTAAATAATTTACCTTCATCGTTGACACATGCGTGCTTAGGATTTTGTTGAGATATATATAAAAGCACTTTTCTTTTACACTGCATGGAACTTGGTCGATGTTTGAATTTTATAAATAGAGTAAATACCGAAGAAGACGTAAAAATATTTTGCAGACATTTCTTCTACAAGCTAAAAGTTGAATTATACCAAAAACATATTAAGTGTGGTGGGATAAGTTCATGTTATGACAAAATGATGGAAAGTTTACAAAAACAGTTTTTTTTAAATCGTAATCATAAATGCAAGAAACACCTTGTAGATCTTGATGAAGAGGCATATCCAATATTTTACAAACTGGATTTAATATCTAACTACACTTATAAATTAATGTTAGGTGATGGTTGCTGGGAAGAAACAAAATATGATAATTATATAAATGATTTAATAAAATCATCATATGTATATGATGAAAATTTTTATAATGTACTTAAAGAAGTTGTGAATACATATAAGAATGCATGTAACAGAAGTAGAGTAATATTGCCTCACTTTTCTGAAATTAAAAATGAGGTTGTAGTGACATCAGTACATTCAGAAGCATCAACACAATCAAGAATATTCAAAAGTGAAAGTTTAGAAGGTAGTTCAGGAATTGTATCAGATACTGTAGAATTCGGAAAATTATTAACAGAGGAAGTGTATGTTATAAGAAACATTCTAGAGATAGTAAGTGGATTGCTTATATCATAATTTTTATTATTCTCAATTTTATTCATTTTATATAAGGTTAAAAATAATATTAATTTTATAAATGTATATAGAATTACAGTTTACATTAATCAGAAAAATAAGAATATTGTGTGAACCTAAAAGCATATACATAAAAACATAATACTGTCACTTTTTTTTTAAGTATACAAGATATTCTTTAGTTTTACTATCATGGGTAAGGAATGTCAGAGGAATTTTCAACAAAAATCATTATGAACACCAAAACCTAATGGATTCATTTGAAAGAGAACGCAATAATTCATTCCATGACAGGATAAAAATAGCATATAGTTCAGAAGACAACCACTAATAATTGCATAATATTATTCCTAAATTTACATCGGTATGATTCAAGAAATAGAATGTTAACATAAAAATTAACTCTTGAAGCAATAAAAAAAAAAAAAAAATTACATATTCAAAAAAATGATCTTTAATATAATAAAAAAATTATAAATAATAGCTCTGAGATTTTTGTAATTTATGTAATAAATTTAAGGTCAATATAGAAGTAATCCTTGAAAGTGTAGAATATATATAGTTAATATGGAAACTAAAATATATTATAAAGAAAATTATGAATTGAAAATTGTTACATGTTATAATTACATAGTTATTATTTGTAATATTTAAATATATAAACGTAAAAATATTCACCAAAAAACTATTTCATTCATGTAAAAATTATTTATAAATAAAAAATTTGAGAAGTGGATAATGAAATGATTAAAATAGATATTATTCTTGTACTTATCAATAAGGAAAATGTATTTGCTATAATTAGTTCCAAAAAAAGTTAATCATATATCAACATTTATAATTAATCTAACTTATATTATAAATATAAACACACAATACTTCAAAAAAGAATAATTCAAAATAATTCCTGTAATATATATGCAGTTCATGGATAAGGGTTCAGATTTAGAGATATATTTTTTATTGTAATTTTTATGGTTATATTCATAGTTCATTTATTAGGGTTTAGATTTTCATATGTACCTTTAGGATTTTATATTTATATTTATTTTTAGCATATGTTTTATATCCTTAAGATTTTTTTTTTTTTTTGTATATAGTCTTGGAATTATAATATATATTTTTATTACGCATAATAATATATATATTTATTATATTTTTTTTATAATAGTATGTATACCAACATGTGTTTTCATGATTTATTCATTTTTATATATTATATAATATTTTTGTTAATCATAAGGCGAATAAACCTAAGAATAATTTTTTTTAATTAGAATATAAAATATTCTTTCTAATTTATATGTTAGGGTGTATCAGTTTTTTTATCGTTGGAAAAGTGTGTTTGCAGTATGATATGTTGACTTTGTCTTGTAGTAATCATATATTATTTTATATTTAGAAATTTTGTTCTACATAATTTTTCATAACTTATATTTATATATGTTGTATAATTAATTCATATATTTCTATCGTCATTTAACATTTAATATTCTAAAATATACTTGATTTTATAATTATCTATACTATGCATTCGTAAAAACTACATTATTTTGCATATGAGTGTATTTATAAAAATTTATTAGTATGTTATATATTTAATCGCATATATTATGTAATTTTGAATTAATGCATATTTTAATTTTTAAAATAATAAAATAATTTATATTCACACTTTAATAATTTATCTAATAAATCATTTAATATAGTCTTATGATTTAGAATATGATTGAATATTCTTTTAAAGAAATTTTTTTTTTAAAATATAAATATGAAATATACATTATTCTTATAATATACATATG